TAAATAAAAGCTTTAAAAAAAAAAGAATCTTAATCTATATGGGTGCCTGGGTGGCTCAACCACTTGAGCATCCAACTCTTGGTTTCAGCTCAGGTCATGGTCTCGGTGTTCTGCGATAGAGCCCCACATCAGGCTCCCTGCTCAACAGGGAATCTGCTTGTCTCCCTCTCCTAAGTGAATAAATAAATCTTTAAAAAAATAATCTTAATCTCTAAAGTGCTATAATATTACTTTAAAGTAGACTGTGAAAAGGTAAAGAGGTATATTATAAACCATACAACAATCACTTAAGATGTAAAACACAAAGAGGTTTTTTTCACCTAATATGTTTAAAAAAAAGAGGTAAAATGAAATTTTAAAAAACACTCAACCCAATAGGAGGTGGGAAAAGAAAAGCAAATGGAAATGGAAATGAATGAATAACACATGAGACAAATAGAAAACAAACAAGTTGGATGATTTAACCTTGACCCTCCAAATATTTACATTAAACATAAAGGGTATAAACCATGGATCAGCAAACTATGGCCCATGGGCCAAATACAGCCCGTCGTGATTTTTGTTCATAATTGTATTGGAACACAGCCATGCCCATTCATTTATGTGTGGCCTATGCAGCTTTCACACTATAACAGCAGGGTTTAGCAGTTTCAACAGAGACTCTATGATCCAAAAGCCTAAAATATTACCATCTGGCCATTTCAAAAATGCTTTGTTGACCATTGGTCTATATACTCCACTGTAAAGCCAGAGATTTTCAAATTGGACTTAAGAAAAATGTAATCTGCAAGAAACCCACCTTAAATATAAAAACATTAGTAAGTTAGAAGTGGAAGACAGAAACAGTTATGCCAATAAACATTAATGGTAAGCAAGCTGGCTAAGATAATATCAGATAAGGCAGACTTCATAACAAGTATTATCACCAGAGATAAAAAAGAATCTTACCTAAAGATAAAGTTATCAATTTCTTAAAAAATAACATATTTAAATCTGTATGCATCTAATAACAGATTCAAAATATATGAAGAAAAAGCAAATAGAACTGAAATGAGAAATGGATAATCTACAATTATAATGGGAGATAACACTCCTTAATCAGTAATTGATAGACAAGATAGACAGAAAATTAGTAAATATAAAGACTTGAACAGCACTATCAACCAACTTGACATAATTGATATTAATGAATATTTTATCCCAAAACAGCAGAATACCCATTCACACGTTGGCAGAACATTCACCAGTATTGGTTCCAATCAGCACAGTTATCAGTAGCAGATATCTGTAGTTCAAAAAGGGTCTTTGGAGTTTACAGACGCCAAGTCTGTGATTTCCTTTTCTCTCTCCGGAAGTTTATAGTTTCCGTTGTACAACATGGGAGGAAGCCGAAAGCCTAATTGGTGGTCTGTTGTATCCACTATCATTTCTCTAAAAGTAACTCTTTCCAATTGGGACAATCTCCCTTGAATTTTATGAGGGTTCACAGCATAAGCATATAAACCATCAATACTAATTATACACTCAGCACTGAGAGCAATAAAAGTGGTACACAACAGTGGACCAAACAGCCCTACCAGATGGTCACAGCACCTTCTGTAGTAAGCAGTAAACATGACAATATCTCCCTCTCTCTTCCCTTCACCTCCACCAGAGACTGACAAGTAGTCATGCTGTGGTCACTTGGCCTACTTATCAGCCTATATGACCAGCTACAGAAACTGCTCGGTTTAGGGGACAAATAAGCCTTACAGTTCGGCCCACTCAGCAGGAAGTTCATGGATGCTCAGGGTCCATGGTAGTCTGCCTGTCCTAACACATAGTAATAAAATAGGTAGGTTTTGATATAAAAACAGACTGACAAATAGATGAAACAAAAACAGTGAATTCAGAGAAAGACCTTGTATAGGTTAGAATTTAATATATGGTAAATATGGAAATATAGCATCACAAATCAAAAGTGGAAGGATAGATTGTTTTGTATATAATATTAAGAAGGAAAATTGGATCCCTAAATATATCATATAAAAAAGTAGACTCCAGACAGATTAATGAGAGATAAAATAGAAAATCAATACAAGAAAATGTCAGAATATATATTTGTGATTTAGAGGTAGGGAAGAATTGTCTTTAAAATACTTGAGGAAGGGGCGCCTGGGTGGCTCAGTCATTAAGCGTCTGCCTTCGGCTCAGGTCATGATCCTGGGGTCCTGGGCTCGAGCCCCTCATCAGACTCCCCGCCGAGTGGGGAGCCTGCTTCTCCCTCTCCCTCTGCCTGCTACTCCCCAGGTTGTGCTCACTCTGTCTCTGTCAAATAAATAAATAAAATCTTAAAAAAAATAAAATAAAATACTTGAGAAAAAAAGAAAAAATACTCGAGAAGCACAAATCCTTGGGCAAAAATGTGTTGAATAAACTAACATCAAAATTAAGTGTTTTTGTTTAATGCAGAATAGTATGGATAGAGTTAATAGAGAAGTGATAGACTGTAAGGAAAAAAATGCAATATAAAAACTGACTATGCAAAAATATACAAGGAACTCCTTTAAGTCCATAAGAGATAGATAACCCAAGAGAAAAAAAAAATGGGCCCACATGTGAATAGGCAATTAAAATAGAACAAACCCCCAAAGCAATAAGCAAATCAAAAGATATTCAAATTTAGTAGTAATCATAGAAGAAAATGAAAACAATCATGAAATATTATCTTATCCCTGTTAATTTGCTTAAAACGTAAATCTAGGTGATGCCAATTATTAGTTATGTGCGGATATAGGAAATCTCAATCCTGGTGGGAGAAGAATGGTGGAACATTTTCAAGAGCTATCTGTCAGCATCTATTCTAATCAAGTCTACACACACACGTAGGTATGACCCAGCAAAGACACTCCTAGGTATGTGGCCTAAAGATATTCTCCCACTGATCCACAAGTGACATACATAAAAATACCCGTCATTATCTTGTTTATTGCAATAGGGATTCAGAGCAATCTGAGTGCCCATCACTGACAGGAGAGTAGACAGTCAATTTTGGTGGGTACACATGGAGTCTTATGAAACATTTACAAAGAATGGACTAGATGTTCATGGAATATCATGGCTGACACTTCAGTGCTAAGTAAAAGAAGTAAAATGAGATCTGTGATTTACCACGGCTTCCACAAATTAAAAAACAGTCACACACAAAAAATCATATAATCAAATAATCAAATATACTTCAAATATAATCAAATAATTCATATAGTATGTATTACAATGTTTGCCAACAGTGAATGGGGAGAATGAAAATTGAGAATGGGACAAATGAGAACAGATGATAGATATAGATGATAGATAGATAGATAGATAGATAGATAGATAGATAGATAGATAGATAGATAGATAGGAAATAAGTACATGTAGTTCTTTCTGTCTTGAAATAGTTTGGAATGGCCTCAACTGGAGGTAGCAACATAAGGTAAAGCATACAGGCAGGAAAGCATAAATCTATAAAAACAAAGACAAATAACCCAATTTGAATAAAACAGAATGTTTCAAAAGGGGTTGCAGAAGAGAAGCCTGGAAAGGTAAAGTCGGTAGGCTGAATTTGGACTATTTTTATTTATTTTGATCTAAAAAGTAAGATATAAACTTTACTAATATTTAATATATGGATTGATCCTGGAACTCTAGGTCATAATTGAAGACATTTGGGATCCATATAGAAGAAAAATTTCAAAAAGCACCAAATTCTCTGTCATTTCTCCTAAAATCTATCCTAAATCTCTCCTGTCTCAGTGTAGCTAACATCTATGGGCACTTCCTATGGCTCTGTGATGTCATTTCCTTTTGTAGCTATTAGTTCCCTGCAGTGTTGGTACTTTACTCAACGCAGGCTGTCTGATAACAGATGTGATTTCCAGCTGTGTCTATATACCAACCACAGCGGGTTCATTAATAACAATTATTAAGTACTTTATGTTATAAATCGAGCCTGTGGCAATAGAGAAAACATCCAGTCATTTGTTTTATGGCCTCTCATCAGAGCTAACTATAAATTCCCATTATCTCAACATTATCAGCACTGCAAAATGAATCTAAGCATGAGTCATAAATAAAACTACCAAACAGCTCAATCAGGCTGGAAAGAACAGAGCATAAATTAACACTTGACGATGTAATGTTATATATGAACTTAAATAATAGCTCAGGCCTTCTTGTCAGCTTATTATGTAAATTATTATTTTTAAGACTTACATTTGTATTTGCATGGCTGGTGCATTCAGTTAGTCATACAATTAGAGTTCAATAAATATGTAGTCCATACATTGCCTTCCCATAACCTAAGAGTTCCTGCTGAGGCTGTATGAAGTACAGTGAAAATGAAGAGAGAAGTTTCAACTGAGAAAATGTTTTTTAGAACTATAGAGAGCAGGGGGGAAAATCACATTTTCCCCAAATACTACATTTCATAGTAGAAATCATTAAATTTAAGAAGATTAATAGAAAAGGAGCAACAAACTATATGCACCATTGGTTCCTGGGTGGAAGTCCATATGGATTTTCAGTTAATCATAAAAATATTTAGTTATCCCTCTATGTTGGGTCCAAGCTGTCATAAATGGTGAAGACAGAACAGAAAGATAAACTGAGCACATGAATTTAATTTTTAAGAGAAAAACAGCTAATAAACACATGAAAAATGTTGAAACTCACTAATAACCATGACATGCAAATTAAAATTATGAGAGATTATTTTTCATGTTTTAAAAGCTATTTCCCAGTAGTGGAGAGAAAGCAGTGAAATAGGAAATTCGATCCTTTACTGCAAGGCATACAAAGGGGCTCAAACCTGAAAAGCCATTTGTCATATCTACCCAGAGCTCTAAAAGTGTCTACTATACTTTTTAATTGAGGTATAATTGACATACAACATCATGCTAGTTTCAGGTATACAGCAAAATGATTTGATAGTTGTATATATTATGAAATGATCATGACAAGAAGTCTAGTTAACATCCAGAAATATGGAACGCTTCACAAATTGTGTGTCATCCTCACGCAGGGGCCATGCTGATCTCCTTTGTATCGTTCCAATTTTAGTATATGTGCTGCCAAAACGAACACAAGTGTTCATTACTTTTGATCAGTAATTCCAATTCTGGAAAATTTATCAGTTACAGATTTACTACATAAATGTTAATGATATAGAATTAAAAAAAAAGAAATAGCAAATAATAAGGTCCATTATGGAAATGGGAAAATAGCTCAAATAAAGTCTAAAAGGAAATAGTTAAATAATTCATGGCACAACCATATGATGGACTACTGTGTGCCATCCAAAATCATTTTGAGAAGATTTAACAGGAAAGTGTTCACAGAACACTTTTAATAGGTTATAAAATGTTATGCATAGCCTAATTTCAATTATTAATCATACTATGAAGTTTTTGAACACATATATACATGCACCAATAGAGAAGGCTAGAATAAATACCCTAAAATATTGTTATTTTTGCACAATGGAACTATGAATACTTTCTATCATCTTAATTTTCTGTATTTTCTAAAATTTCTTTCAGAGAGAGAATTAGTGTACAACAAATCTGGCTAGTAAGGATTTCAATTCACAATTTTTCCAGGCCTTCCATAACCTGTATCCAATAGATCCCTCCAATCTTGCCTTTCACAAAGTTCAACATAAAACTGGCCAACTCCATTTTTTCACTGCCCCCAAATCATGCTCTGTCTTCCAAACCAAACTTTGCTCAAGTTACATTTCATGTGTACACTCAAAGTGACAAAATTAGCTGAGCAACATTAAAGCTGGAATCTTAAAGAACTCAATCTTCTGCTTAGAATCATGTAGAAACAGGAATACCCCAATAGTCAAAGGTAATCACATCCCCTGAAAAAATATTTTCCTTACATCCTTTAAAGCATATCAAAAGGATACCCAGTTCATCACCCATAGCCAAACTGCTCAAAGTCCATTGTGCAGCCTCCATATTTCCCTCACACCCTTCTGTCATGCCCACACAAGTGTTCTCACCTCTTCTAACCTTCTTTAATATTCAGCAGCCCTCTTTGCTATATCCTCTCTTTGTTACATCACATCTTTTGTCTCTGACCAGCCTCCAGATTGGCAAAGGCAGAACTATGAGAGGGCGAGCCTCAGTTTCCACATCTGTAAAGAAAGTAGAATAATAAACCCTGTCTTACCAATATCACAAATATCTTAAAATTGTAAAGCATTTACATGTTGTGACTATTGTTTTTTTTTTTTTTAAGATTTTATTTATTTATTTGAGAGAGAGAGAGAGAGCACATGAGAGGGGGGAGGGTCAGAGGGAGAAGCAGACTCCCCGCTGAGCAGGGAGCCCGATGTGGGACTCGATCCTGGGACTCCAGGATCATGACCTGAGCCGAAGGCAGTCGCTTAACCAACTGAGCCACCCAGGCGCCCAGTAACTTCTTTTTTTTATTAATTTTATTTTATTATGTTATGTTAGTCACCATACATTACATCATTAGTTTTTTACATAGTGTTCCACAATTCATTGTTTGCATATAACACCCAGTGCTCCATGCAATACGTACCCTCCTTAATACCCATCACCGGGCTAACCCATCCCCTCCCCCCCTCCCCTCTAAAACCCTCAGTTTGTTTCTCAGAGTCCTTAGTCTCTCATGGTTTATCTCCCCCTCCGATTCCCCCCCTTCATTTTTCCCTTCCTACTATCTTTTTTGCTTTTAACATATAATGTATTATTTGTTTCAGAGGTACAGGTCTGTGATTCATCAGTCTTACACAAGTCACAGCGCTCACCATAGCACATACCCTTCTACTGTAACTTCTTTATCTCATTCATGCAATAGATATTACTCATATATAACCAATACCCTTCAAGCACTATTTTACCCACAACTAGGGAAGTATTTATACTTCAATAACCCCTCTCTATGCCTTCCTGAACAGAGTCCCTCATTAATTCTATTTTACCGTCAAATTATATCTTAAATCATCCACAGTTCTGTGTGTCCATTAGCACCAATCTAACCCAGGCATCCATAATCTCTGAAGTAACTCCTGACTTGTCCTCCCATCCACTCTTGCCCCCTCCACCCTATTACCCATACAGGAGCCAAACATTTTCTTTAAAAAGTTAACCAAAAGTAATCAATTCCAATCCCAGAATGTCCAATGGTCTAACAGACATGGTAAGTCCAGTTATTTGGGTAGCACACAAATAATGAAGCTCACGCATAATGGCATAAGACTACAAAAGAGAAACTAGAACCCATGAAAGGGATGTTTATTTGCCACAGAACTTTATATGGCATTTGGGAAAGAGAGAAGTCTGCTGAAAACCCCCTCTGATATACACAGCTACATTTTCCTCCTTGGATGTGTGAGGCACAGCAGATGCCTGTCAAAGTAACTCACTGAATACATTTAAATTGACAAATTACTTATTCAACTTTACAAAAGATATTTGAACACATTCATATTGTTTTTCCCACAGATAACTACACTAGTAAAGTTTGTAAACCAAGTATGCACTCTGTATGAACTAAATTCCTTAACAGCTTCTTACTGCACTTAGAATAAAATCTTTGATCCTTACCATTGACCTACAAGTCTCTGCGTGGTCCCTTCCTATCTCTCCAGCCAATACCTCAATGGCTCATTATGCTTATACTGACTTTATTTCTTTATTATTTCAGCTCTTTCCCACATTTGTAGAGTGCCATTCCATTTGCTCTATTCCACCTGAATAATTGCCACAGGGGTTCAACTATGTTGAAGCATGTAGGCCAAACTGATGTTAGGATTTGACAGGAGTGTATGTGGAGCTGAGGAGTTTCTTAAGATACTCCTAATAGGATAGGAAGCATCCAGCTACTGAAATGAGCTCAATCTATTAGCACTGTTCATTGAAATACGAAAGTGATTGTGAGGATGCCATGGGTCTATTACTAGCATTTGTTTCATTCCAATCCTACCGACTAGGAGATTTGGGATTTAAAGATTGTTGTGTAAAATCAGTAATTGCTTTTTCTCTTCTGAGAAACCGGTCCACTATATAAAGAAAATAAGTTGGATCCCTACTGTTAGTCACTTGTTCAATATCTATTTCCTTCTTCTTTGCTGATTAAACTTTGATTTTATTTTGCGTGTCACTTTGTCAGGTTAAATTCTTGCTTCTGCTTTCTCCCTAAAAGTTTTCAGTGTCCATTGGCAGGCGTATTTATGGTTAATGACACATATTCAAGAAATTCCTGGGAAAGATTATGCTTTCTGGGAAAAAAGAATGGATGTACCTGATAAGGCCTTTTCCCTTTCCCATGCATTCATCCCTTGAATGTGGACATAATGTCTAAACCTCTAGCAGCCATCTGGTAACCATGAAATGATAAACATGAAACAAAGGTCGAAAGGTTCACAGAGAAGCTGTCCTGACACCATTAAGCTACTAAACCTACTCTTTCAGATATTTATTTCCAATTCTACATGACCTTTCCCCAATTATTTATGAGACAATCAAATATGTTTGTGAGGTCTAGATAGCTCCTGTGTTTTGGTGTTCAGGGACCTACTGCTGGTTATGTGACCTCATGGTCCGGCAAAGCCAGAAAGCCCTTGAAGATCCAAAACCATGTGGTGGTTTGTAGTGGGGCAAAGGAGAATATCTATTTCCTTATTATGTTTCATGTTAAGTATAAAATGGTAATTGAGACATTTTTCTGAAACCCTTGTTTTCAAATAAACAGCAATTACAGGGAAGACAGTGTCCAGCTGAGAACAAACTTACTGAATTCTGGAAGCTGAGACTTTAGCAGAAGCACATAAGTGAAGGAAGTTTTAGTTTACTCCTTTCAGTCCATGATAGATCAACTGATTGAATATAATCAATAATGATATCAACATCCTAAATAACAAAGAATAGGGTATCTCTAGGTAATATTTATTAAACTTTTTATTCTGAAAAGACATGCTTTATTTTTCAAGTGTCCATGGAATAGTCATACAGGTTGGTTCTGAGTCCTAGGTTGTAAGAGGGCTTTAAATAAAAATTAACTGTACAGTTTCACTAAAAATTCTATAGCTACTCTATCCAAAATGGCAGCCACCAGACAGAGGCAGTTATTTAAATTGAAACGAGTTAAAATTAAATAAAATTTAAATTTGAATTCCTCAGTCATACTAGCCATATATGGCTATTGGACAGCACAGATATGGAACCATTTCATCACTGCAGAAAGTTCCCTTGAACAGTGTTGCTTTAGGTATGGAGACACAGCTGTATGGCTGGGATATCCCTCAGTATGTAACATATATAACTGATTTGATTGCCACTAGAAAGTAAGCTCCATGAAAGAAGATATTTTTATCAAAGTTATATACTGCTGTATCTCTAATGTCAAGACAGTTGCTTATGCATACCTGGTGATCAACAAATAATTGCTTGGTGAATTCAGAGTTCTCAATTCAGTTAGCTATAATATGCAAAATATTTTATTCTCAAAATTTCTTGTACTTTTCTTGGCCTTGAACACTCAATCTGCCTAAAGCACATGTCTCATTTTCTTTCCATTCTATTCCTGTTTAAATTTTAGTCCAGTGTAATGACTTCTATATTCTCATTAAAGTGGAAAAGCTCAGTCTTTTCCCTCTGGTAGAGTTCTTCCCTATTGTGTTTCTCTCCTTTGTGTCTCCTTTCTTATTCACATGGAACAGTTCACTTCTGACACTTCTGGTCACCAAATATGTGGAGGTTTGTCCCCCACAACTAGCAATTCTTTGCAACACCAGCAATTCAAGTCAATTCTGACACTATCTACCTGGAAACACTATCAGATTCCACAGGTTAAGAGCTCAGTCCCACAAGACTGCCCCCACCCCCCACATACACACTTCAGATGCCAGCCACACATCCAGATTATCAACTATACTTCTACCAACTGGCTATAGATTGGAAGATCCAAACACCTCCTCCTTGAGTTCGATTAATTTGCTAGAATGGCTCACAGAACTCAGGGAAATGCTTACTTACATTTATCAGTTCTTTAAAAGATACGATCCAAGATACAGATGAACAGCGAGATGAAAAGAAACAAGGTGA